GAACACCAATACCGTGATTCTTTTCTAATTTTATTTTTACAACGATGTAAACAACTTCGTGCAGGATCGGCCTCGAAATATTCTGAACATCTTGAAATTCGAGAATATGTTTTTGTTTTTCCTTAAAATTACAATTTAAATAGCCGATGGTCGCTGCTTCTTACGCACGACGAGTATACTCGTCGTGTCACAAAATATTGCCATTTCTCCGTGACGAGTATACTCGTCGAACACAGCTAACTGGTTAAAAAACAGTTGTTATTACAAGTTAAAATACGAAATTTTGAAATTCCAAACTGTACAATAATAAAACACTTTGTAAGATACGGTACGGTACGACGATCGGCACGTATCTAGCGACGTACTGGCTATAATGACCGATGATCATTTCTACATGCTCGGAATGTTGAAATTCGGTTATTTCGTTAATTTGTCATTTGTCTTAAGAATGGGAGAGCCTTGTTACCCTGTTAACGTGACAGAAATATTTGCCGCTGTTGTTGCTTAAGTTGTCGATTAAATCGAAAAAACATGAGATCGAGATACGGTAATGTCTCCCTAATTGACGCTCAGATCGTGCACAAAAGTGGACAATTTGGGAAGAGGAGATACGATTATTCGAACCTTGCGGCTCGTTTTTATAGTTGTGGACAATTTATAACTATAAAAATAAACCGCAAGGCTCGAATTCGCAACGCTCCTCTTCCTAAATTGTCCATTTTCGTGGATAATCTAAGCGTCAATAAGGAAGACATTACTGTACAGTAATATTATTATTAGAGTACAATATCTCCCTAATTGACGCTCAGCTTGGGAAACAAAGATGGACAATTCGGGAAGAGGAGACACGATTATTCGAGCCTCGCGGCTCGTTTTGATAATTGTGGACAATTGAGCCGTTTATTTTGAAAGTGGCATAAGTCACTTTACCGTAATGAAAAGTGGTGATTTTTTAATGTTTATACGAAATTATTTATATTGAGAAAAATATCAGTATCCTGAGATAACAAATACAAGTAAATCTTATCGAAAGTTAGCATCCATATTTTTAAACGTGTTAAAACGCAAACCCTTAAATATATCGACTTAAAAACAAAGTGACTTATGCCACTTTCAAAATAAACGACTCAATTTATAACTATAAAAATAAACCGCGGGGCTCGACTAATCGTTTCTCCTCTTCCCAAATTGTCCATTTTTGTGCACAATCTAAGCGTCAATAATATAATTGTGGACAATTTATAACTATAAAAATAAACCGCAAGGCTCGGCTAATCGTATCTTCTCTTCCCAAATTGTCCATTTTCGTGCGCAATCTAAGCGTCAATAAGGGAGACATTACTGTACAGTAATATTATTATTAGAGTACAATATCTCCCTAATTGACGCTCAGCTTGGGAAACAAAGATGGACAATTCGGGAAGAGGAGACACGATTATTCGAGCCTCGCGGCTCGTTTTTATAATTGTGGACAATTTATAACTATAAAAATAAACCGCAAGCCTCTTCCCATATTGTCCATTTTTGTGCGCAATCCGGGCGTCAATTAGAGAGACGTGTTACTGTACAAGAACGAGCCGCGTGGCTCGATTAATGATGGCGCTCTTTGCGCGCGATCTTAGCGCGAATCACGGACAAATCATCATTGTACATCGGTTTGCGGATTTTTCAACAGTGCTACGAAATGCTCGAAATTGTGAAACGGTCCGAATCCGACCGATTTCAGAGAAGAATTTCATTGATCTTCGCGCGATCCGATGAACGGGGAAACATCGTTTCACCGTTTCGCGATCCGATCATTTTTTCTAAACCGCGGCTCCTCGAATCTCCTGTATATTTTCTACTGCGACTTTTGCGGCGTCGTTCGGACGAACCGGGCCCCGAACGCGATAAAAGACGTCCTCGTGATTCGATCGACGGCTTGGCGGTCGGATTAAATTTAAGGATCGAGTTGCGCTCGTGGAAAGGAGAGATAGGGAAAGGGAGGAAAGTACGCGCGCGAGAGAGACTATTAAGTGGATCCAAGTGGATCGCGATCGATCGGGGGCGTCTCCGATCGACTCGTCCCCGGGACTGACGAAAAAAAAGGAAAAAGAAAAAAAAAGAAAAAAAAACGGGCAACGGTCGGAAGTTACTTCTCCCTGATGCCTGTTGCATCCTGCGACTCGACGTTAACTATATTTACGATGTATCGTTGTAGAACTATATCGAGTGGTATTTTAATGTAAAAGTGACACGAACGAGCGAGAGAGAGGGAGAGAAAGGGAGAGAGAGATTGGAGTATAACGATAGAACTAGAAAGATAGAGAGAGTGAGAGAGAGAGAGAGAGAGAGAGAGAGTGAGAGAGAGAGAGAGAGGGGGCGAAAGAAGTGAACTGAGCCGAGCGATATTTCTCGCCGAGAATAACAATATATCTGCCAAGGCAAAAACAAAAACAAAAACAAAAACCAAAAAACAAGAAAAGAAAAACTCGCACGTCGAATCAGAGCGGCGGGGATGACGGGAACGAAAATACGGACAAAAACAACATTCTTCCTGGACCAAAGCAAACTTTCGCAAAATTTCGCCAGCGAGAGAATTAAAAAATTCGGATAAACAAACTGACGTCACTTCGCTTCTTTACACGCGCCCCGGATTTAGAGTCAAGCAAACAAGTTACTTGGATCGCATGACGACGGAGAGGTATTGCATGCAATAAAACTGTTGTTCGCATCGGCGACGTAAAACGGCAAAAAAAAGAAAAGAAAAGAACAGAAAAATATAAGAAAAACGACAGAGACGAAGAACAAAAAGTGGATTAATAAGAGAACGACGACGACGACGAGAGCGGCGTAAAACGTCGACACGACGCGTATTCCTTTTTTACTCCCATGTAGAGAGAGAAAGAGAGCGAGAGAGAGAGAGAGAGAGAGAGAGAGAGAGAAAAAAAAGAGAGAGAGAGAGAGAGACTCGTAGACGAGGTCGTCCCCCATTGCATATTAGATCGATCAATACAGGAAAGGATTTTTTCGTACTTTCCAACTTTTTTTATTCCATCACCACCCCCGCCTTCTCGTTGACGCGACGTTCGAGCGACGGGTTTCGGGAAACGTTGAGCGGCCGCCTTGAGTATCCGGTTGCGCGCGAAGCGATCTCCTTTTATTTTTTCTCTCGTCGGTTGTTCGAGAACACCCTTCTGTTCTCGTTCGCTAGAATTCTCGTTCTCGGCTACCACCCTTCACTCACCTTGTGCGATCTCTTCGCGCGCGCGCGCGCGCGCGCAATGTTTTGTACGTGTTTCGGACTCGTTGCCTCGGCGAATAATTATGAGAAAATATTGTTGTTCCATTTCGCTGTTGCGACCATTAATCTGATCTTTCTTTGAATTGATTTGCTGGACCGGAAAACACTCGTCGGTTATTATCGACACACACACACATACACCCTTGTTTTCACCCCTAACAAATCCCTCCGGGAAGATCGGTATGAGTTTGATCAACGATCCAGCCCCTGGAAAAGTGATCTCTGGCAACCCGACAATTTCTTGGATCGTCGAACGTGCTACAGAATTTTCGCTGACGCGAATGAAACGATATCGAACGATGCAGGACACTTTTTTTTTCGTTCGAGTCGAAAATTGCGACCGAATCGTCTCGCGAAGGAGATACTCTCATTTTTATACCGTTATTATTATAATGTATAGTAGCTTTTATACTATTATTATAGTAATTTTATAGTAATAATAGTATAATTAATATGCTATTATTATAGTAATTTTATAGTAATTTTAATTATTATAGTAATTATTATAGTGATAATAGTATAGTTAATATACTATAACTACTAGTAATAATTATTACTATACATAATAGTAATATACTATTATTACCATACAGGTTGTCCCGCAATTATGGTACTTCCGGGAAATTAGAGATTCCTGAGGTCATTCGAAGCAACTTTCTCCTTTACAAAATTTTTCTCCGAGGCATCGTTAACGAGTTATCAACGAAAAACGCCGACCAATGAGAGGCGAGGCCTCGGTTGGCGCGAGGCGGCCCAGCCAACGAGCGCGCAAAGCCTAGTTCCGCTCATTGGCTCGGCCGCCTGGCGCCGGGCGAGCTCGCCCCTCATTGGTTATTGCTTTTTCCTCAGTAACTCCTAAACGATGCCTCGGAGAAAATTTTTGTAAAGGAAGAAGTTGCTTCGAATTACCTTAGGAATCCCTCATTTTCCAGAAGTACCATAATTTTAGGACACTCTGTATATTATAGGAGATACTCTCGATTCGTCTCGTTTTTATAGTTGTTGACCACAAGATATAAATTATAATTTATATTTATATAACTATAAAGAGACTCGAACAATCGTATTCTCTCTTCCAAAATTGTCCATTTTCGCGCGCAATCTGTGCGCGAATTAAAGAGAAATTATTGCGATGAACGTATAGACGAATCATCACGTGTTTCGATAAAAGGGACGAAAGGTGGTGGGGATCTCGAGAGAAAAAAAAAGAGTGTCGAAATTCCCTGGTTGCCAAAGCTCCCCGAACGGTACTAACACACTCGAACCGTACAATTTCTTCGGTCTTTCTTAACAGTTCTTCTTTTTTTTTCTTTTTTTTCTCATCTACCAAAACTAACGTCTGTCTTGCGCTTTTCTTAATTACTCGTACTTGTCTTCCCAGCAGCCTCGAAATGCCCTCAAATCTGGTGATTTCTTTCAGATCTAAAAGCGATACTACCGAAACCAGCGATACCGTGCACGAGGAGGCCGAGCCTGCGATCTAAATATCCTAAGAACGCAGAATCGTGATCGCGATTTAAGTGCCCTAGAGAAAGAATGAACACAGATATACAAAATACAGACACGACAAACACACACCGGCACACGTTTGTCACATACACAGAGACACAGAGAGAGAGAGAGAGGGAGAGAGACAAACACGCGCGTGAACACGACACGTGAACACGTACACACACACACTTACACCGAACCGCCACATCGTTTAACATACAAAATATAACTTTGACACGGTCCCAGAGACCGTTCATTATTTTCGAGAGAAGTTTTTACACGAGCTAACGAAGCTATTTATTCAAGAGACACCGACGAATAACTGGCATAAACTGGAGGAAATAAATCAATTTGTTTGGTACAACCGAGCTTTCATAATATATGTATATGTATTCGACGGTTCCTCGATCCTACGGCGACCACGAGGAACGTTCACTCGCGAGCTCATCCTTTCCCCCACCACCACCACCACCACTACCGCTGCTACCCCACCGATCGTCTTCGATCTTCATCCCACTCCGTGGTTCCGTGGACGCGGGAGGGGCGAGAGTAACAATTGTTCCGCGAAGCGACTCGTTGCGTGCTGACTTCAATCGATATTTGTTATTCCGTTCGTTAAAAACGGTGAACCGCGTTGATCCTCTCGAAGTTCCGTGGGTCCCCCGCGGAACGTCCTACGCAATCTGGAATCAAGAAATGTCTTTTTTTTTTCATTTATTACTTTATCGACCGGTCGTAGTTGAGGCTGCCACTCGGTAAGAACTGGCTTAGTCGCGTGCGCGCGCATTTCCTCCCGGCTAAATTTTCGCTATTTATTGTGTTGTGCTTATTCCTTGAAAAATAATAATAATAAATGATTATAGTAATTATAATTCATAAGGATACGGAGAGGTTAGTATACAGCTACTAACGAAATAGTAAAGAAACGAAAACCGTCGATAGTTAAAAGCCGATTAATGGGCTAGCGGTCGATAAACATCGGCAATCGAAAAGCCGATTAATGGGCTATGGGTCGATAAGCATCGGTAATCGAAAAGCCGATTAATAGGCTCTCGGTCGATAAATATTGGCAATAGAAAAGCCGATTAATGGGCTATCAGTCGATAAATATTGGCAATCGAAAAGCCGATTAATGGGTTATCGGTCGATAAATATTGGCAATCGAAAAGCCGATTAATAGGCTAGCGGTCGATAAGCATCGGCAATCGAAAAGCCGATTAATGGGTTATCGGTCGATAAATATTGGCAATCGAAAAGCCGATTAATAGGCTATCGGTCGATAAGCATCGGTAATCGAAAAGCCGATTAATAAGCTAGCGGTCGATAAATATTGGCAATCGAAAAACCGATTAATAGGCTCTCGGTCGATAAGCATCGGCAATCGAAAAACCGATTAATAGACTAGCGGTCGATAAACATTGGCAATCGAAAAGCCGATTAATGGGCTATCAGTCGATAAATATTGGTAATCGAAAAACCGATTAATAGGCTCTCGGTCGATAAATATTGGCAATTGAAAAGCCGATTATTGGGCTATCAGTCGATAAATATTGGTAATCGAAAAGCCGATTAATAGGTTATCGGCCGATATATATTGGCAATCAAAAAGCCGATTAATGGACTATCGGTCGATAAACATCGGTAATAGAAAAGCCGATTAATAGGTTATCGGCCGATAAACATCGGTAATAGAAAAACCGATTAATAGGCTATTGGTCGATAAGCATCGGCAATCGAAAAGCCGATTAATGGGTTATCGGTCGATAAATATTGGCAATCGAAAAGCCGATTAATAGGCTATCGGTCGATAAGCATCGGTAATCGAAGAGGCGATTAATAGGCTATCGGTCGATAAGCATCGGTAATCGAAAAGCCGATTAATAGGCTATCGGTCGATAAGCATCGATAATCGAAAAGCCGATTAATAGGCTTATCGGTCGATAAGCATCGATAATCGAAAAGCCGATTAATAGGCTATCGGTCGATAAATATTGGCAAATCGAAAAGCCGATTAATAGGTTATCGGTCGATAAACATCGGCAATCGAAAAGCCGATTAATAGGCTAGCGGTCGATAAAGTGGGTAAAAAATCAACGATCGTTATTCGCCAGGCGAATACGATATTTGGCGATTTCATATTCAGTCACGAAATCGATTCGAGAAGCGTGTTTGTTCAGCCGAAATCGGCTGGCTGGCTCCGTTCGGTTTCTCGTGGTGAAAGTCGCGCGTACAGGATGGGCCAACGAAAATCCAGGCAAATTGCGCATTCTACTATTTTTCATTTTCTTTTTTTCTTTCTTTTTGGTTCCGTAGATCTACGAACTCTACGATACGACTAGATTCGAATAATAATCGCTACACGTGTAAGACGAATATTTTTACACGTTCGTTTCGCGGTTTCACGAATTTCGAACGATTTTCGAGTAGAAAAAAAATGTTTGTACCCGTTTCTAGCATTATACACGACGATAGTTATATTTTATAGGAAGCAGTTGTTGTTGAAGTCAATAAATGGTGAGTCGTTTCAACAAGACAATGGGGTTATTCCACTCACCCTGCACGCCGGCGAGGAGGTCGAGAGGTCGAGGTCGAGGCTCGTGAGATTCAATTCGGTGATCTGTAAAATGAAAAATGTTATCGATTAAATTCACGAGAAACCGGTGGATTTAGCGGGATCTACAATGTCCAGGATCCACGGTGTGAACGTTGTAAAGCGATGACGTAACGACGCGCTTCAAAATTTCTTGGACCGATTATGAAAGTCGTGCTAATATTTTCCGCGGTGAAAATCTAATTATGATACCGCAATTTTCCCGTTTCCGGGCTTCGATGATCATCGACGAGGTCGCACAGATGACGCTACGAAAATGAAAATTCATTCTCATGATTTTTAAAAGGTACATTATAGGCCAGTTGTTTTTTTTTTGCTATTTCAGGGTTATTTTTATTCGGGATACAGTATATTGTCTCTAATTGACGGTCAGAAAAAAATGGACAATTTGGGGCTCGTTTTTATAGTCGTTGAAAATCGGTAAATAAATAATAATATATATCGATAAATAAATATAAAAAACTCTGAAGCTATAAAATATAAAAGATACAAAATAAAATATAGAATCTATAAAATCGTGTCTCCTCTCCCTAAATTGCCCTTTTTTGTGCACAATCTGAGCGTCAATTAGGAAGAATTTACTGTATTAATTTACTATATAGAAAAATGATTGAAATTAAAGTTCGATGGTATCAAAAGAGACAACGTAACAAAGCTATTTTCCCATGAAACAAATGTTTGTCAAATCGTGCAACAGCAATTGCGAGTAATTGCAATAGTAATCGTGCAAGTAATTTACCTTTCAACAGAGTGCTCGGGCCAGTAAACGTTACTTTAACCATTTTTTCCTGTAAAAATAGCACCTGGCCGAGGTACAATAAATTCTCCCCAATTGACGCTCAGCTTGCACACAAAAACAGACAATCTGGGAGGCGGAGATACGCTTGTTCGAGCCTCGCGGCTCGTTTCTATAGCTGTTCACAATCGACATCTATAAAAAAAAGAAAAAATTGCCATTTTTATGCGCGACCTTATGCGTCGATTAGGGAGAATTTCCCGTATTTTCCTTTAATCAGTAAAATCGAACGAGTTTGCTCGCATCACGCGATTCATCGAATATAAAACAAATCTTAATATCCCAAAAATTTCGTTGAATTGCAATACGACGATATCGAGCCCACAGTTGATCGCAAAAAATCGTAAGTAATAATTAAAAAAAATATGTAACATTATTCAAGTAGCATGGTGCGTGGATTCGACGCGCAGCCATGGAAAAACGACGACCGGACAATTTGTCTCGAACGATTCCTGTTCTCGACTTGTGTGTGGAAGACTTTCAGATTTGATGAACTGACCGAAGATTTTCAACGGATCGTCTCTAAAAAGAAAATGCGAAACCGTGGGACGAACGAACGGACGGACGGGCGGAGGTGGCAACCGCGCCACGAAAGTGCTTCCGGTTCTGCGAACGGAGGCTAGACTGGCCGCGCAAGCAATCGGAAAATGACTTTTAAAAGCTGCGTGTTTTTTCCGGCACGATGCTGGACGCGTGACTCGCTCGTACCGTGTAAACAAACAACCGGGCCTCTCAAGGGAAAATGTCGTTCGGACGCGCGTTCGCGCGAACGTTGCATAACCGCCCCCGATTCTGCGTACTTCGAATGAATCATTCCGGGCACCGGTTGCGACCGGAAGTCGCGGTGACAAACCGGCCAGGTTCCAATCATCGCTTAATAACTTATTGGGTTGGCAACTAAGTAATTGCCGATTTGTTCGATGAAATAACAAATTTTTCTTTACTTGGAACGAAGTTTAATCTGTAATGTATTTTCCATTTTGTTCGATGACCTTTCGCCGTCTCTCTGACAACTTGAAAATTCTACGCTCGTAGAAAGTCTGATCCTTTTCGGCCAAAAAACTGAGTTAAGTGAGATTTTACAGCGTCGTCATCGTTAAAAGTTTTACCACGAAGGGAGTTTCCCAGGGATCGAAATAAGTGGTAATCCGATGGTGCGAGATCAGGGCTATATGGTGGGTGTAACATCAATTCCCAACCAATATCCATCAATTTTTGCCGAGCGGACAAAGACGTGTGCGGCCTAGCATTGTCCTGCTGGAAAATGACACCTTTACGATCGACCAATTCTGGTCGCTTTTCCTTGACCGCTGCATTCAATTTGTCCAGTTGCTAACATTCACGGATAATAAAAAATAACATAATAATAATAATAATAATTATAATAATAATAATAATAATAATTTTATAATATAACATTTACGGATATCATAAAAATGGGAGTGAGAGACATCTATAACTGAAATCGGCAATTACTTAGTTGCCAACCCAATATATTATCAAAACCTCCTCGTTGAGACTGAAGCTAATCCTTTTATTGGTTTCAATATTAACACTATGCCGTCCGGTGGCACCACGCTGGTGCCATGCAAAAACTATCTGTTGTATGCCGGTGGTACCACTTTGGTGCCATTTTAGAAAACTGAAATAACATTTGAACTATATTTCTTGGGTGTTAAAAAAGTCAGCAAGCTAACTATAGCATTGTGGTCGCTTTTCCTTGACCGCTGCATTCAATTTGTCCGGTTGCTAACATTCACGGATAATAAAAAATAACATAATAATAATAATAATAATAATAATAATAATAATAATAATAATTTTATAATATAACATTTATATTATAATATTATATATATTATATTACATTTTCCTTGACCGCTGCATTCAATTTGTCCAGTTGCTAACATTCACGGATAATAAAAAATAACATAATAATTTAATAATTTAATAATATAACATTTTATAATATAATTTTGTAATATAATATAACATTTAATAATATAATATATATATATATAATATAAATTATATAATAATAAAATTATATAAATAATATAATATATATATATATATATATTATATTATTTATATAATATATATATATATATATATATATATATATATTATATTATTAAAT